CCTCCCTCGGAGTCTAGGCTGCTATTTCCCTTCACCAAGACCTCGCGCATTGTGGTAGATTCTCATGGCGTGCTCTGCACGGCTCCCAAGCTTCCGTACGTACGCAAAACTGTTGCCCGTGGCTGATGCCCGCCGCTTATTATTCAATTCACCAACTTAGTCAGGGGTATGTGCCCCCACGGGGCGACGCGGTGTTTTTGTATACCGAGGCTCGCCCAGCCGTCGCCTTGGACGGATTACTTATTCTTCCTTCAGAACAAGCGACAATCCTGGCTGCTCACATACCGACGACATGTTTCAAATACTACTCTGTGTTTTTGCTTGATTCAACTTCCAACTAATCTAGTCCCCGGTCATTTCTCGGTTTTTGAGCTCGACGCACTGGTCATAAACCCGCTCTCAGTGGTCCTTGACATTGGGAACCAAAGATACCTTGCAACCACTGGGATTTCTCAGCAGACCATCTCTCAAACATGTCTCTGAACTTACAGAAGAACCCCGTCATCGCAGTTGTGGGCGCTGGCCCCGGCATTGGCGAAGCTGTCGCCCGCCGCTTCGTCGCCGAGGGCTTCTGCGTGGCTCTCCTCGCCCGTACTGAGGACAAACTCCAGAAGATGGCCCAGGGCATCGACGCCGACTACGGCAAGGGCTCAGCGCAGTACTACATCACGGATCTGCGACAGGAGGACTCGGTCCTATCCAGCTTCAAGCGCATCCGCAACGAGCTGGGACCCGTCTCAGTACTTGTCTACAATGCTGGCGCACGCCGCGTCAACGGGAGATCCATCCTCAACACGTCATCGGAGGAGTTCGAGAACTTCACCAAAATCAACCTCTTTGGCGCCTTTTGGTCCACCAAGTGCGTCCTGCCGGATATGCTCGCAGCTGGGAAAGGGACGATTCTCTTCACTGGCGCTACGGGTGCTCTCCGCGGGAATCCGGGCCTGGCCAGCTTCTCGCCCGGCAAATTCGGGCTGCGCTCGCTCTGCCAGATCATCACGCGTGAGTACCAGGCCCAGGGCATTCACGCGGCACACATCATCGTGGACAGCCCTGTCGACGGCAAACTGATCGGCGAGTGGTCGCGGAGACAGTGGCAGCGGACAGGCCAGGGAGACAAACTGGAGGATGTTGACGGGCACCTGGTGGCGCCAGCAGATCTGGCACAGACGTATTGGTTCCTGCACACACAGCCGAGGAGCGCGTGGACGCACGAGCTGGATGCTCGGCCGCAGAAGGAGAACATGTTTTCCAAATTGTAAAAGCAACGGGCTCAGGAGGACTTGTTGGTCAGACATGGTTTATGGTCTCAAAAATTCCAGCCTTTTACATACATGAATGTGTTGAAACAAAATGGATCCCAGTTTCTCTCTGCAAATCAGATACAGGCTGGCAATGGGTACATGTGTAACTGTTCCACAGCTAGGTCCCCAACTCGGTCGATGTAAGGCACTTGGAGGATGTTCAGCTGCTCCACGCTCCTTCGACTAGTCTACTATATCACAGCCTCGCAGTCTCCTTCTTTGCCTGCTCAGCCAGAACCCGGCGGAGCACCTTCCCAGCATTGCTCTTCGGAATCGCATCGACAAATCTGATCCCGCCTCTCAATCGCTTGTGCGGCGCCACCTTCTGGTGCAGCCAGTCACAAATTTCCTTCTCCAGCTCTGGTCCACTTGCGTAACCCTTCGCCGGCACAACGTAAGCTCTGGGGAGTTCAGTCGCTCGCTCCGAACTGTACACCCCGATCACAGCGACGTCGTTAACGGCCGGATGCGCCAACAGCAGACCCTCCAGCTGCGCAGGGGCGACCTGATACCCGTTGTACTTGATAAGCTCCTTGACGCGGTCGGTGATGTAGATGTTGTGATTTTTGTCGACGTATCCAACATCGCCAGTGCGGTACCAGCCGTCGGGAGTGATGGAATCTGCGGTCGCCTTCGGGTTGTTATAGTATCCTTTGCAAATGTTGGGGCCTTTAATCCAAATCTCTCCAGTCTCACCCAGAGGCACTTCTTTGCCATCGTCCATACATTTAAGAGAGATGGAAGGGAGGAGGGTTCCGGCCGAGCCAACAGTCTTTTGCCATGAATCCCAGGACTATTGATAAATATGTTAACAAACGTGTCGACACAAGACTAAATTGGATCCCCACATACCTGCGAAGCCACACCTGGGGATGCCTCTGACAATCCATACCCTTGTTTGATTGGAACATTCAGACGCTTGTAGACCATCTCTACTAGATCATTCGTCAAAGGAGCCGCGGATGAGTGCATCATGCGTAACGAGCTCAGATTGTATTTGGCGACGAGTGGATGCTTTGCGAGCAGCAGGACAACCGGTGGGACGACATATGCCATTGTGATATTTTCGTGTTGAATGATGCGACAGAATGACTCCAACTCGAATCTTTGCATGATATAGACTCTTATTCCTCGATAGATTGGGTTGAGGAGGAGGACTGCGAGGCCTGAAGGAGAGTGTTTAGCATATCCAAACTCAGCGATGCAGCGCGAACATACCATATATGTGGTATAAGGGAAGGAACCCAATCGTCCTATCCCTACTCCAGTGTGTTCGATTCACATCCATCACGATTCCTTGCAGAAGATTTGTCACAATGTTCTCGTGTGTCAGCATGACCCCCTTTGGCAGTCCTGTAGTGCCTGAAGAGTACACCAAGAAAGCTAGATCCTCCTTTGGGTCAATGGAAGTCTTCTCCGTCTCGGTCAAGGAGCCCTGGATGTCCGAAAAATGTTGGAATCGGCCTTTGGGGTCTCGAGGGCCTACCAGAATAATCCGGTCGAGGGGTAATCCGACAAGTAATGCAGCTTCACGAGCGACCTCGAGGCATGCAACATGGGTTGTCAATGCCTTGGCCTGAGACGACTTCAATTGTGACACCAGTTCGCCGACAGTATAGAGGTTGTTTAATGGGCATGCGATGCCACCAGCCCAAAGAGCGCCAAACGTTACAGCCGCGATCTCTGCGCAATTGGGGGTGAAGACAGCCATTACATCGCCCTTCCGCCAGTTCCAGTGTCTTTGGATGCCCTGTCCAAATCGCCGAGCAGTATCCCGAACATCTCGCAGCGTGTGCTGCTTCTTTGCAGCGACATCGACGTATACGACTGTCAGGAGTGTGAGCAGGATGAACGAGGTATTCAAGCGCACGGTCTAAGCCAATACTCAGGGGGCAATTACCATGGTCCTCGGAGAATTCGCGATCAGTCCGATCAAAGAGGAATGTCCAAACGTCAACCGGCGGGATAGAGATGGGTAGATGAGAGGATTCGATAGGCATTGCAATAGGCTGTCAACGGAAGACTTCAGATTTTGCCTGTGGCTATTGCTTCAGCCGCTGTACATGGATGGGATATGTAGTGCTTTAGGGTGAGCTGTCCATGCGGGTAGTGATGCCAGGAACAGCATGGCCGTCATCGCACGTGGAGCAAGGGCCGCCATTTCGATCAAATTCCGTCTTCAAAAGATTAGAAAAGCCTTGCGTGCGTACGAGGCAGACCGAAGTGTGAAAAGGAGACCAAAGAATGCGGGACACGCAGAGGCAGCTAGGTAGGAACCTGGTAAGGGCGAACTCGAATATATATTTATGATTAGTCGTTGTGACGCGCTGGGGAACCTCGGCTTTCCGGCATCGCCGTTGGCGCCTCTTACACGACCTCAGCTTAAATCAGCCCTTCATCTGTTGTGCTTTGTGACATGGACTTGTCATAAATAATCATTGCGATATAATCGAGATAGAGAACGGGTGACCTCGCATCCGTGTCATCTGGAAGGCCTGCAACGAGCCAATCAGCCCGGGTCGAAGGACATCGTCGGAAAGCTTGGATCGACTTCTCCCCATTGGAAAATCCAGTCTGTGCGGCCAATATTTCGGGACAAAGCTTGCAAAGATGCCTCCAGAAGGAGGGAAGCTGACCATATATGTGGATTGTGGTATGTCTATCATACGTCTACTCAAGATCTGTGCGAAACTCACCTCGTCTCTCCAGTATCCCCATACTCCTGGTTTGGGTTTACCAACATCATCCGCTACCGGCCATTGCTAAATGCATACGGTGTATCCGTGGAAATAATACCTTTTTTCTTAGGCGCAGCTCGTGATGGCGTTGGCAATCCCTTCACTCCAACACCCAAAGCCAAAGAGGCCTTTGCAAAGCAAGACTCCGAATTGACTGGGGAATTACTCGGCTTGAAGGTCGTCCGGCCGAAGGAATTTCCTATCTTGTCTCTTTTTGTGAGTGTCCCGGTCGCTAGGATTCAATTAGGATTGACGTCTTGTATAGCCGGTTCGTGTTGCTACGTGGGTCAAAGACCACTACCCGCCAGAGAAGTTTGAAGCAACCTTTCCAGCCTTCAGCACGGCGTATTGGAGTAAAGGCATCAACATCGCGAAACCAGAAGGAATTCTCAAAGCGCTGGAAGGCATCTTCTCCAAAGAGGAAATCAAGGAAATTATGAAGAAGTCTGTGACTTCGGAGAACAAACAGAGGGTAATTGACTTGACCATGGGCGCCGGTGCATTTGGAGCGCCGTGGATTGTTGCCGTGAACTCGGAAGGGCAACGGAGAGCCTGGTTCGGGAATGACCGGTGGGATCAAGTCTTTTATCACCTCGCAGTTCCCTTTACGCCGGTGAGGATCATTCCACCTGAAGAAGCAAAGGCGAAGTTGTGAGTGCGCGTCGTGTTGGTAGCCTGGCGACCAAAAAACTGAAGCATGTGTTCGACGGACTCCTCAAGGCAGAGCATCTAGGAAGAGGCAGTGGAGTGTGATGTGGAAATTGGGATCGATTGAGCACCCACACTCAGGCAGCATGCAAGTAACGTTGGGAGTAATATCCATTCTGTGTTGTATGTCCCAACAGCTTCTGGCTTTTCAGCCTCGTAGCCTCGTCATGCCAGGATAGGCTCAAAGTCATTTCAAAGCTTGGCAGAAATAATGAAGAAACCTACAGTCAGTCCGGTTGCCTGACCTCTCATGCAACTTCTTGATCCTTTCACTTCTACAGAGTATCTTTCTTTGAAATACTTTCTGTGGATCGAAACACAACAATGCAGAAACGCGAAGGAACAAAAAGCCGACGCTGTCTTCAATGCATTGTTCGGAAGAAAAAGTGTGACTGCGCGACACCAAAGTGCAGTCGCTGCAGCAGGTAATTTTGCACAACGAGGGGTTGACCGCGCTGTGCTGATGATAGAAAGAGTCGGATTGAAATGTAGCCTGGAGCATAGCACCGAGGGTTCCGATACTCACAATGGTAACCAGCATTCTTCTGCCTCAGGCTGTCCTCGACAGAATTCGATCGTGGCAGCGCCAATAGAAGACACATCTGCTGTGTATCAGGACACTCTGTCACGGGTTTATCCCGCTGGATTCGGTGGTTTTGGGAATATTGTCGACTTCTTGGACATTCTGCCCTCAGCGGGTCATAATGTTGCTGGGGACGTGGAACCATATTTCCAGAGCTTCAATAAGTGGTTACCAGTGGTTGACGAAAGGTGTTTCTATCAACGCTACGATGATCCTACCAACCCCCCAGACCAGGCATTCAGGACTCTCCAGCTAGCCTGCGTCCTCTTGTCAAGAATATCTCCACCGTTCACAGCTGCCGATCAACCACGGAGCAAAGAGTTGTATGTATTGATCAATTTGTCTGTTATCAGGCTCGTCTCCAACGGAGGTTCAAGTCTTGAAGTGTTGCAGGCAAAGATTTTGCTTGCCTTGTACGAACACTTGACAGCAAATCATATTGCGGCAGTAGGTACAATCGCCTCAGCAGCTGCAGTTGCTAGGGGCCTCGGTCTATTACAGTGGCATTGTGATCCCAAGCCAAGGGGAAGAGCTCTCGCGGATCAAGCATTATATAAGGTCGCATGGTGTCTATACATTCTGGAACGGCAAGTTTTGAACAAGTTGTCATGTTCATTATACTAATCCTTTACAGCATGATCAAATCCATTCATTATGCGGACCACTTGGCGGCCTTCTCCCTTGCTTGTCCCAGGCCTTGCCCCAATGTTGCCCTACCAAACGAGAATGCAGAGTCCTCGACTGTGGGATTTGACCTAGGTATCGAATGCCACAAGCCATTCTGCCGCCACATTAAATCTCTGACCGCAGAGCCTGTCAAAGCTCCCCTGCCACTTTTCAGCAGGCTTTGCCAGGCCGCGTTTCTTCTCGAGTTATCTATAGACGTTTATGTGAATTTAGCGGCGCATGGTACCGCCGCCCGTGAGGAGACGGTATCCAGCCTTGACAAGGCCATAAATATGCTTGCTTCTTCTTTACTTCGAGACCAGGACCAGGGTTTTGATATGAATTGCTCCGTTCTCGGTCTTTGTGTCAGGTCAGTACCCGATCCGTCAACTTGCTCGCAGAGCCCTCGGTTGACTTGCATTGCAGTGCAACGATGATACTTCATGACCGGGATATCGAGCGAGTCTCCCTTCGTACACATTCAAATGCCGACCATCACCAAGCCAACCTGGTAATTGCTACCAGGATGGTGTTCGACAGAGTGAACATTGTCCCTTTGCTCCAGTATCGGTATTCCCAAGTTCTGTCCCTATGGGAGTTGCACTGCTTCTATTTTGCCGCGGAAATTTATTTGCGGCACGATCAAGTTAGACCAGCAGATCAGAAGGCGTGTAGGGCATTGCGGACGATAAAACAAGAACTAGAAGGACATCAGGCCCACTGGGCGCTCACAGGTATGTATGCATCATTGAAAATGACAACAATTCATTCTAAAGCAAAGGGATTTTATTGGGTAGGCCACCTACTATCCAAAGTCCACTGGAGGCCAGACTATCTGACCGACGCAACCTAAATACGGCAGATTCCTATTTGGTATTGTTGGAAATTGGGAAGTCCAGATCCTGATTGTGCTTACGCTGATCTGGCCATGTTTAACAGCTTCGTTGCCCCCTCCACAATATCCTCCCTCTTCTCCTCTTCCCAGAAGCGCAAAGTGTCTTCAGCCACTTTTCCCTTCATGGCCTCAAAGAGTGCCGCACTGGTATTGTTCTTGAGCTCGTCTCGACCGGGGAATTCAAGTTTGGGAGCAATATCCACAAGCTTCATGCCTACCCCTTCGCCCAGAACCTGGTGCAGATGCTGGCTTGCGTGCCCACCACCAAAGATGCCGTAGGTCACGATCATCACGGGCTTGCCGGACCATGCGTGGTACAGGAAGTCAATCGCATTCTTGAGCGCTCCGGGAATGCCTTTGTGATACTCGGGGGAAAGAACGATGTATGCATCGTACTTGGCGATTTCTTGGTTCCAGGCTTTGGTCGCAGGGTTCTCGAACAGCGTCAAGTTCTCCACCAGTGCCGGTGTTACAGGCTCGTTGAAGCTGGTGAGGCCAAATTGGACGAGATCGACGACGGAGAATTGAGCATGCGCCATGCTCGGGTCGGATTGGATGATTTTCAAAAGCCAGCTTGCAACTTCGGGTCCGATTCTAGTTGGTCTGGTGGATCCAGTCAGGATAGCGACTTGGATAGGAGCTGACATTTTGGAGAGACGCGAGGGCCGGCAAAAGTGTCTGCTTGAACTGTGAGAGAGGCGGGAAGTGTTTTGGAAGATGAGTGAATGTATTTATACTTCATTGATTGTCCGGTTGGACCCAAGGAGAATACCTAGTGACGTGCATATCACGGCCACTGCAAAGTCGGCCGCACGGTCGGCCACACGGTCGGCCACAGCCAGGGTCTGTCTGACTGCAAAGTCGGCTGCAGAGTCGGTTCCAAGAACGTACGGCGATCCAGAATGCGCAGGCATTGCTGATGATGAGGTCTTGCCCATTCTACGTCGCTATACCATAAAGGTGTTAATTACACTTTCTGAGCGATAGGATTATAGGTGTATGAGACAGAGACAAATATTCCAATAAATACTTAGGGTCTGACAGGGCTACAATTCCAAGACGGACAATGGAGGATGGACTCTTTACAACGAGCAGCTCAACCCTAAGAAGGCAAACACTAACCACACCCCCTAAACACCGCAACTTGGTCATGTTCGATTCTATCCTTGATTGATGTCGCCAGTCACTGCCCTTTAGTATCGTTACCTAAAGGCTCCTCAGCTATGTGCATTGAAATGCCTCCCAACTTTTGCAGAGGAGGCCTAGTGAGCCAGTACCCAGCCTTGGCAGAGCGGCTCCTTCAGGTACAGCATCACCCAATCGATTTTCAGCATCCCTTGGAAACAAACACGCACCCTCACTACCACTACTAAAATAGATCCCAATGCCATGACTGATGATCCAAATCCATTGGGACCGTAGCCCAATTCAATTACTCCCGCCGACGGCATTCAAGCTACAGCAAATGACGTTAAAAAAAACCTCCAAAATCTTCCCGGCGTCAGAGGTGGCGATAGTATCGTAACTGCGATCCATAACCTCGGCGAACGACTCGACGTACGGTTCAACACTTTCGAAAATCGTCTCAACCAACGACTCGATCAGTTTGAGATTCAGCTTGACACAGTTCAGACGCAGATGTGAGCTAGGTATACGCCGCTATAGATAAATTTAGTTTATTTTCATCTGATTTAGCTCATTTTATAGTGAGATCAACAATTTAGCTCGGAGTCAGAATTCGTACCTTTCAACCCTAAGCTCTTCCATCATATCACTCGTCAATATCTCGACGCTGCTGAAGTTCCGGGCTTCCCTGCTACGTCAAGACACATTACTCGGATGGAGGAGGCCGAATTAGAATGCCGTTCTACAAGGGTTGGGTACAGCACTCACTGCAAACAGTGTGGGGGCCAAGAGAAGACGACTGCGTGGCTTTATTGGTCGGCAGAACGACCAGAAAGTGCATAAATGGAACATGCACTGGTGTGCCCAGGAGACGGACACCAGCAGTGAGATAGGCTCATTCATTTCCATTCTGCGTCTAATGTCGACAGGGCCAGGATACATGTCTCTGCAGGCAGCATGACTTGGTTCCGAGAACAACTCAAAAACCAGGTGAAGGCAGCGAAGCCACCACATCCACCACGACCCGAACCAGGATTACACGAATCACCACCGGGCCCAGCAGACACATCCATCGATTCCAGGGACAAGAAGCATTTGGAGGACGCTGTCGACCAATCCTCGTCGACACGTGACGGGCCTCTCACTCATCACTCATGCTGACTCACCTTCGATTTCCTATTTTCCAAATCCGCCAAACCAACATCTTTATCAGTTACATTTTCACAGAATTGTCAAGCAATTCAGAAAGCCCTTCCTGTCTCTGGTAGTTCAGTGGTAGAATACCGGCTTGTCACGCCGGTGGCCGAGGTTGTAAGTTGTTGAATATCAAACTCACAGGAGCGGAAAACTGACATGTGTAAAGCAATTCCTCGCCAGAGAGTCTAATTCTTTTGTTCCCGGTCTGAGTCCTCCGTACAGGGTTCGAAATGACCATGTGCCTACATCGCCTCTAGTTCCCTTTTTTTGGTGCTTGGTTTCTTTCATGGGCTCTTGTGAGCGTGTACATTTTGCGCCGGGGACTGATCTCATAAGCGTGGCATTTCTCATCGCTATTCTCGTCAGCCTGATAAGAGCAACCGAGCCTTACGCCCAGTGAGCTGGGTAAGGCTACCAGCCGCTCACTTCGTCCTCCCCCTCCAGAGTTTGCTGCTGCAATCTCTTTGCAACCTCGTCCACAGCCTTCCACACTTGAATGAGATTCCCCCCCGCAACCTTTGCGGCGTCCGCATCACTAACACCCAGCCGCAACAGCTCGGCAATCAGATCAGGATATCGATCCACCCCCTCCAGCCCCTTGGGAGTTAGCTCGCCCATCCCGTCAAAATCGCTGCCCAAGCCGACATAATCATACCCGATCTTCTCGCCCACATATATGATATGTCTCGCCACCTGATGCAAGGTGTTGTTTTTCTCGTAAAACTTCGGCAACACACTCTCGTTTGCGGGGGGCAAGCATGAAATGAATCCGGGACTGAAATTGATCATCACTATGGATTTAGTCTCCTTGACCAGGTCGAGAATATCGTCGTGCACGTTTCTGGGGTGTGGACATAACGCGAATGCTGAAGAATGAGAGAAAATGACCGGCGCCGCCGAGGTCTTGTTGCTCAGCACGGCTTTCTGTGTCCAATATGAAGTATGAGAGATGTCGACGAGCATCCCCAGTCGGTTCATCTCGCGTATCACGTCACGGCCTGCCGAGGTCAATCCACCGCGATGGTAAGGAGCTACTCTTGTCCCATTCTGAGATGAAATTAACGCGGCATCCGCAAAAGCATTGTGGCAATTCCAGGTAAGTGTCGCCGCTCTCACGCCCAAGGCATAGTACAACCGCAACGTGGAAAGAGGCGCCGACTGGGGAATCTGATGTAGGCCTTCGATGCTTATTGGCGAAATCAAGCGCTTTGAGGTGTGGAAATTCGCCAATGCAACGTCAAGCGGTGAAGTCGCAGAGGTGAAGTTACCGGCATACACGCCCTGCAATCGACGGATTAAGTCGATCTGGGACAAAGTATGCGACACAGCGGTGGCATACTGCTCATCCGAAAAGTCCTCGCTAGCATTATCCGGACATACCACGAAAGCGCTCCAAAATGCGCCGCCCACTCGACCTTTCCGCAGCCGCGGCAGGTCGACGTTCAGTTCCATGTTTCCGTTTTCAAACTTGTCCCGAAACGCCTTGGTGTGCAGTTTGTTCTTGTATGCGCCGCGGATGAAGATCGCCAGGTCATTGTGACCGTCAATCAAGGGGGTGCGGTCGAGGATGGCCAAGGCTCGTTCTTCGACCGTTCCACGGGGTTCGGGCACGGGCACGGGTCTTGGTGTCGGGACATGTTCTCGGCCTGTTGCGTCGGGGCTGAGGAAGGTCATCACGAGGCCGAAGAAGACCACGACGAAGAAAATCGACGCGACCTTGTTCAGTGCCGATTTGGCGGATTCAAATGAGAAAGATTGGGCATCCGCGTCCTCCTCTTCGGCGTCTCTGTAGCCCTCCACAGCCTGGATTTCTCCGTCCCACTGCTTCGGAGACCCTCCATGACCTTCCGGAGGTTGTATGCCCTCATACCCCCTGTATTTGGAGAAGCCATAGCCTTGGATCTCCGGGGCAGGCTCGTTCTGGGGCAGGAGAGGGTCGAGCTCGGATTTGGAAGACATCGGCGCTCGGGGGGAACCACCTAGCGTTAGGTTTTGGGGGGGAAGGACGGAATTCAGGACAAGACAAGAGAGAGTGGAATATTCTGCAAGGTTTCTCCTTCATCTACATCTCTGCGTCCAAACTAAGAATAGATCTCGGCGTCCCCTGATAGAGATAGTCAGCTGCGATAATAGCTTTTGTTTGAGAGAGTGTTCCTCCGCAATCTGGAAGACGATAACGACATCGGCGACGCAATAAAATTGATCCGAGATCGAGCCGAAGGTCCCGGCGAGGTCGCCTGCTACCGACTACCCGCCTCGCCCAGTACCATGTTACGACTTGTATATTCTAGCTGAAATGATGCCACAGCCCAGCTTCATGAGAGATCTAGGTCGATATTCTTTTGGTTGTATCCACACACCTCCAATCTATTTCTGTCTCAGCCCAGCCATGTCCAACAGCCTGTAGTCATAAATGGGTGTTTGCCAGTCGTCCTGCAACAGACCATACGTTTCAGTAGCATCGCTCTTCGGCTTGCGCGGGTTGATTGCCCAGTATGCAAAATCGGCGTCACACTCTCTCAAATACCTCATGAGATTCCTCCAATAGTGGTAGTCTCGTCGTGATGGTGAATTTGGAGCCCCTATCTCGCCAACCCAAACTGGAGCGGTATCAGTCTGACGGAGGTACTCCCAGTTCTTGTCCATGTCATCAGCGAAAGACTTGTACGTTCGGTACCAGTACGGCACCAGGGATCCCCATCCCGACCATCCGTACACATGAGACGAATATACCAACTTGTTCCCATGTGTCAGATGAACAGGCCGGTGCTGGGCACCTCTGATATCATTGGCAGACTGAACACCCTCCACGATCATTAACCACTTCGGTTGAAGACGATGCAGGCGTTCTGCTGCGTGTTCGGCAGCAGTCGCCCATGAGTCCCACATGAACCTGCCTGCAAATCCACGAACCTCATTACGCAGATCCGCGCCGATGACCAGCGGATCGTTGATATGAGGTTTCATCACCGTTATGAGATCTTGAATCCAATCTTCCTCGGTCTGTCGAACTGGACATAAAGGCCCGAGGTCACTGTTTGACCATCCCATGTCACAGGGATAACCATCACAGCACCATCTCGCTTGGGTGATATGATTGTTGATGATGACGGCCAGGCCGGTCTCGGTCAGGGTGCGAACAACCGCAGCATAGACGTCCAACGCTCGAAAGCCAACGAGATCTTGGTTTGCGGTCAGGAATTCGGGGTCGATCATCGGGTTCTTCCGAACAATCTCGTCGGCATATGGTAGTCGGACGCTATTGAATCCTAGCTCACGGATGACACGGGCGATCTGGGTTCGATTCTGGACATCCAAGCCGCCAGGAACCATATATATGTCACTGGCTCCGTACCAGTTCACGGAGACAAGCTTGATGCGCTTGCCATCTTTGTCGACGATGTTGCGGCCTCGAGTGCTGAGTGGAGGATTGAAAAGGCGATCGTGGGGATCATAGAGGACGGTAACATTGCCTTTGATCAATTCGGCATCAGGATACAGCGACAAATTGGCGGGGATACTTCCTCTTCGCCAAAGTATCCGTACCATGAGCCAGAGGCCGGCGAAGGTGACAAGGATCAAGATGAGTGGCGTTCTGAAAAGCTTCCACAGATTGCGCCTGCGCCTGTGCCTCCCCCCGCTTGCTAGCAGGGCATAGTTGTGACCACGGCGCATTGGCCAAGTTGGCCAGACCATTTCCAACGCCGGCCAAATTGTATCTCAGATGGCCCTGGATCTGGAGATCGAACAATTGCGCCTGCTGGAAGAAGGCACATTTGTCCACAAGCCGTTGCCCGTTGCCCGTTGCCCATTTTGAGAGCCAGGCACAACGAGCCGCGTTGTTCCGGCCATCTGACTGCAATCATTGGCTGCCTGCAAGCGTCCCCCAACCTTGTGCTGACTGTTGCATTGTCAAAAGCAATCGAGGGCGATATGGCTATATTTGAATGCTTTGTGCCTTGGATATCTTTTTCAGACTCTTCCCCCCCTCCTCGCACCCAGCTCGACACTAGAATCACAAGATGCTGCAAATCCCTGAATTGCCCGAGCTCGCGTTGTCTCCGTCTGGAAAGAAATTGCAAGATTGCTTGAGCCTGGAGCGACCGGTCAACGATGCACGTGGAGGGCAGCGGCCGTCCAGCACGGCTTTGATTGGTGGAACCAAAACGACACATGCCAGATGGGTGCCAGAGCTTCAGATGACTGGTTCATTGCCCAGGTGGGTAGGTTTGACGGTATGTAAGCCTATGGTGCTTGGTGCCTGTTGGTGCCCACGAGCCTCGTTGTTTGGTATACACGCCATCGTCAACTGCTCCTGCTGCTCATTGCCCTCCCCAATGCAGATCACCTGGACTCGCCGTTGCTGGCGCTAACATGATAACAATAGCCAAGTGGGCAAATAGATGGATGAATCAATGCTGGCTGTGAATCTGAGGCGGCGGTGTTTGCCCTTGCATCCAGTGGTGATTGAGTGCGACGGTGGTCACACTGCCAGCCAGGGTCTTCTCGTGCGGAAAGAAAAGCCGTGTGACAACAGGGCGAGAAGGGGCCATCAATGGTGTGGAAAGAGGGCGTAAAGAGGGAAGAGAGAAGGAAGAATGGCCGTTGGGCTTGGAATGTCCCAGCCTTTTTCCTAGCTCGAACACTCTTCTCAGTCTCAACCTCGCCGTCACCTGCTGCACCCTCTCTCCTTTCACTGTCCTCTCCCTCCGCTTCGCAGCAAGCTCGAGACAACTGCTGTGCATCACTCAGCACAGACCACGAGGATGGGCGTTCTCAGATGGTCGCTTCGTTGCATCCCTGGCTTGTCAGTCTTTGGCCTACTGATCCTGCTCGAGTCTGCTCTGAAGATCGTCGAGACAGAATGGCTCAGCTTCTTCTATCCTCCCTTCCTCAAACACATCGCGAGTCCTGTCGTCGCCCAGACCATTTTTATTTCTTACTCGCTCTTTCTGCATATCCTTGCCCTCCTCTTTCCTCTGAGACTATGCGCCTCTGCCTACTCTGCAGCCCGGGAAATCAAAGCAGCTCATCGGCCGTCGAAGCTCACTCCTAGTGACACTCTCCAGTGCGATGTTTTCCGAGATGATCCCCGGGAACTCCACCCCCAGCAAGATACGGCCAAGAGATTGGGAACCGTGACGATGGCAGTGGTCTTGCCCAGCTACAAGGAGGACATTGAGATACTCGAGACTTCACTGAGAGTGCTCGCTAGCCACACTCTGGCCAAATCATCATATGATGTAAAGCACAGTCCCTCAAGAACTTGGTGGACCGACCATTGATAGAGATACAGATCTTTTTGGCCATGGAGGAGCGAGATCCAAACGGAGTCAATGTGGCTCAGAACTTGATCCAGCTATTCGCCGGCAAGTTTCGAGAGATGCAATACACTGTACACCCTGCGGGTCTGCCTGGCGAAGCCCCTGGAAAGAGTAGCAATGTGAGTTGGGCAGCGAGGCAGATCGAGCGAAAATATCTGAATGATCTCGACTGGTCAAGCGTGCTCGTAACGGTGATGGACAGTGCGTGATTTGCAAACCTGGAAAGAGAAACACACTGACACGGTTTCAGGCGACACCCACCTGCTCAGTCAATATTTCGAGACCATCCTCGTCCACCACCTCCGCAGCCGCAGAGACCAGGGGTTGACCGATATGACCTTGTACATGCCCCCCATCATCTTTGATCGCAATGCGCACTTGGTTCCTCAAATGGTGCGCATCGCCGATCTGATGTGGTGCGGTGCTGGGCTGTCTTGTTTCACCAGCAAACCAACTGGGTCGACCATCGCAATCCCTACCGCAGTCTACACACTCCCCCTTCCTCTTGTTTGCCTGGCCGGTGGTTGGGACACTGGGTCAGAAGCCATCGGCGAAGACATGCACATGATGTTGAAGTGCTATTTTGCGGCAAACGGCCGCATGAAGATAAGATCGATTCCGAGTCCGGCAAGCCAGTGCAATGTCACGACTGGAAAAGCAGGCGTCCGCGGCTGGCTGGCTAACCATTCTGCCCGGTACGCGCAAGGTCTTCGACACATGTGGGGATGTCTCGACACTGGATATGCTGTTCGGCAGTGGTGCAAGATCGGCGCAGAGCCAAATCCTCATGATCAATCTACTCCATCTAGCGAAACCAGCTCTTCCGATTCTGGACGACCAAATCGTCCTCGCCATGTTGAGATCTGTCTGAAACTCAGCCAGCATGCCCTTCACGGCCCCAGTCTTCGAAGATTTACCTGGCGAAATCTCATCTTGTTCAGTCGACTGTTTGAAGCACACTTCTTGCCGATTCATTTGTTCCTTGTTCTGCTCGCTTCGGCCATCTACACCGCGCTCCCATATCCGATCACCTCGTGTCGACTTTTAACCGCTGCAATGGACCTCACCTCAGTTCTGCGAGGGATCAGTTTCGCCCTGATGACAATCTACTTCGTTATTTTTTATGAAAGATACCACGGTGCTTGCATTGAGGCTAGGGAAAGGGAGATGAGGAGAGCCGGCCTGTATGAAGAGTTGGCTGATGAGTTTTCTTACCGCAGAAGGTTCTCCCTCATCACCATGGCCGACTACGTGCTGTTCCCTATTGCGGGCACAGTATTTGGAAGCGTGCCTCTGCTCCAGGCGATAGTGTCGCATTTCTGGACAGAGAAGCTTGTCTATCTGGTGAGCGCAAAGCCGGTCAAGACGATTACCAAGAATCTCATCAGCGTCACGGTCACTGAGCGAGGCGCAGAGGTGATAGACGTTTGAGTGTAAATGTCGGGCGGGAGGTATCCATTCAACGAACATAGCACAGCGCAAGACATGGGAGTCTCTCAGCGTTATGGGATGTGTAGACTTTATAGAGTACGCGAGTAATGGGAGCCCTAAATAGCTACGTGGATAGGTAATCATAATACCAGTACAAAGTCATTGATTGATAGGGCAACGGCAAGACGAGCTGCACACGAGATGAACTCTCCGTCACGTGTATGACGATTGATGTAGCTCACACCAAGGGGCAGGCGACTTGCACATCTCTGTGGTTCTGCGTCCAATCCACCTTTTTTTTTTCTATTTCGCACTTGTTCCCTCAACATCACATTCCCACCAGAATTGGCAAAGTCGATTGGACACCTCGTGGACCTCATGTGTAAGTGGTCTCCCAGTCGCTGATCTTTCCGAGCCCATCATTTCAGCATCACCAGTTGAGCATCGGCGTCCGGGAGCACCGCGTTGAATGTGAGGCGAAACGCGTCTCGGGTGATGGGCGTAGCATTGGGGAGAGAGCCGAGCCCAAACAGCCCCTGTCCAAAAAACCCCGGATCCACCTGCGTCTTGCTCACCACCATTATTTGTTCCATGCAACCGCCTTTACATCTTGGTCCGAGTTGGGAGACTTCCTTTGTCAACTGAGTCGCTCTTCCCTTCTTCACTTTCCTGCCTTTGGATTCACCTGCTAATCTTGTTATGGAATCCACAGCCATGTCGACCAACTCTGGAAACAGCGGAGTCAAGAACCTTCGGGCTATGTTCGAGAACAAAGCCAGCGATCAATCCACATCCCCTCCAAGTCGAGGCCGGTCTCCAAACCCGTCGGAAATATCCAACCACAGCAGACCCGTCAGTAAAGTCCGTGCAAGCTTCGTCGCCGTTGAAAGACCGAGTGAGAACGGAGGCGCACCCCTGATAGGCCTTCGAAGGGCCAGTGAAGTGAGCAGCATGGGGGAGATCAAAGAGAACGTTATTGAGGACGCGGAGAGTACAGAGAAGTCGCTTGCCGCGGCCGACACTACGAAGAAGGACGATGCAACGTCGGCCCCACAAACGGCACTCTCTGCAAATAATGATATAGATGAAGGTGGATTGGGCAATATTCTGAAGGGATCTGCGTTTGTTGAACAGACCCCTTCCAAGCCGTCTACCGAGGCCAAAAATCTCACTGAGGCAATTGCATCTGGTCGAATACAAGAGAAGATTCCTCGGCCGCTATCAAAATCAGAGAATGAGTCAAACGCTGCAGACATGGTCAAGAAAATGCAGGCAACAGATGGAACCATGCCAGGACCACCCCCGACCACCACTCTCCAGACTACCCAAGATGCACAACCAATCAAGCCGCCGCCTACAAGGCAACAGATCAATATCAAGCCTATCCCTAAATCCCCCACTGTGACAAGGCCTTCTCCTCGAACCCCAACGTCTCCAAAGCTTCATATCAAAGGAGGAGCTGCGAAAATCAAGGGTGTGATGGATTCGGCGAAAGAAGCACAAAAAGCCAGGGAGGCAGCACGAATAAATGCCGAGAAAAAGGAAAAGACACAATCCTCTGCACCAAAGATAGGTATAAGTGCAAAATCGAGAGCTGCGCCAGAAAACCTCAAGAAGGAACAGACGCCTGTTACCCCAAAAGCCGTCAGATCGCCTAATACAGTCAAAACGAAGCCGCCCACCGTACCCGGGAAACTCCCCGCTGCGGCTACGGCCACCACAGCCTCAATAGCTGCCAAACACGACGCACTGCATTCACCGACCGAGCCAGATCGCCAATCTGTTGTGAAGAAATCGTCCACATTGTCGACACGACAACCTCGAGCTAGTAGCTCGGCCAGCACATTTTCATTGGCGAAGAAGGCATCTCGTACGTCACTGACAAACGGCCCCGACAGACCAAAGTCTCGAGTTAGCACCAGTAGACCAGATGAAGGTTTCCTGGCTAGAATGATGAGACCTACGGCAAGCAGTGCACAGAAAGTCCACGAAAAAGTGCAGGTCCATAGTCCGCCGAAGCACAAAACGGTGGCCCAGACCAAAGTCAGACAGTCTGCTAAGGAGAAGACACCGACAAAAGCTCGTGTTGACACACCAACCAAAGCCGAAGAAGAGAACAAGGAGAACTATCCCGATCTTGATGCGAATGCTCTAATCGACGTAGCACAGTCATCACCGCTGGAAGTTGTCAAGGAGGATCCCATGAATGGCAATGCCGAAAAGGAGCCAATTGCTCCTGAGCCAACCGAGCCGGCACAGCAGGTCAATGGTGAAGCTGGCGAGCTGGATTGAAGGGAACAGTCCATTTTGGTCGAATTCATTTCAAAATACCCCAGTTTCATTTGTGATACTTCACTTATCAGCGATTTAGCGATTTCTGGTATTGGCAGCAATTTCTTTTTTTTTTTTTTTTTTTTTTTTTTTCTCTGCTGGCATTCGAATGTCATTGATATTGCATCCCATCTCCCACCTTGAAGTTCGTTGGTTCTTGAAAATTTGCATTTCACTTTGACAGGATGCGACGTCACCAACGGCCACGCTGAAGATGGACAGGCTGGAAGGTCGTGTAAGTGTTCTCAGTTTGCCACCTTTCCCCCACCCAGTTTGGCTCTGACCTAGAGGGATCGAGTACAGCCGGCAACCCAGAGGTGGAAGCGGCACTTTTTTGATCGACCTCAACCATCAGATATTCTTGATTCTATCTGCCGGAACAATTGCGAAGCTGATGGCGACCGGAAGCGGCACTTTTAGATGCCGTGGGTGTTGCGAGCCTCGTACAGGTCCGAAACAGGTATAGCGCTACTGTCCTTATTGATATACACATCCGGCCTCGCATTCGCCCAATCTGACCTGTCCAAGTCAACTTCGGGTCTAGCCTGCCCGCCTTTCTTCTTATTCAAGACGAGATCGAGTCTAGCTGGAGATTGGCATCCTAGGTTCTTTGCATTGCGGCTTTGATGGCCTGCGCTTTTGTGCTTCTTATTCACCTCTCTTTGCGGAGTACCCCTGGTGTATTTCCTTTCTATTACACGATACCTCTCCTGCGTCCGCCCTGCTCCAGTGTTTTCCAATGTCTGTTGTTCTTTATTTCGGATGCTTCAAAGAGCTGTTTGGGGGGTCGTAGCATATTATAAAGGGCCTGTATCGATTCGCAAATGATCCAATCTCCCGTCCAAACCACAACCCCGAACTCCCCGAACACATCCAACAAAAGACTTGCCGCAACGCGACCATACCAATCTATAGTGACATGAAGGTCACAGCAGCCACACCGGCAACCATCCTAGCCTTTATTTTGGCTCAGGCTGGCGCCCTCCCTTCCCCCGAAGCCAACGGCGGTGCAGTTACCGGAAGCCAATTTCCTCCTTCTGATGTTCCCGTTTACTATATCGAAAATGCAGACGTTGAGAAGCGCGACTCACAAGGCCAAAACCACGGTCAACACGGCGGCCGACATGGCGGCAAAGGCCATGGCGAACACAAGTGGAAAGCCATGGGCCAAGGAAAGGGCCAAGGCCAACACGGACCCATGCCCGACGACGATGGGTCTGTCGATCTGACCCCTTTATTCGACCATCCCGATCCAGAAGTCCAAGAAATCGTCCGCCGTGCCATTAAGGCGCCCAAATTCCACTGGTGGGAGCAGCAGGGTAACGGCGGCAAGTTCATGAACATCGTGGTAGGAAATCCGGACGTTCGCCCGCTCGCAAATGTCAAAGAGCAAGATTTGAACCCTAAGGAATTTAAGAAGCGAGATCCCGAGGCCGCTACCAATGCCGATGTCAATGACGACTCTGAGCATGCTAAAGACAAGTGGATGGACAACAAACACGATGATGGGCAAGGTAAAGAGGGTAATAGAGGAAATGCCCAATGGAAGCAATGGAGACAGAGTCGTGGGCATGGACCCATGTCCGATGGCGATGAGGAATAGACCTGTCAGGAGTTCAGCAGGGAGGAGTGAAAATTGCTTGCTGGCGATTGACTAGACAAACGCGACTCTCTTACCCTAGCAGAAGCTTAGCGACCCGGTCGATGACTGGGAGGAAAACGAACGCCAGTCACCCTTTCCCAGGTCGGTAGATGGTCGAACAGCCGTTTCCTCAAGTTTCGAACCCTACCACAGCAGAAAGAAGGCTTTTTCCTCTTGAGACCGTGGAGACTCGTCTCATTTTCCAGTTGCGAAGCCATATCCTTCATCAACAGCGCAATTCAGTCCACTTTCAAGCAGTCCTTTCCAACTCATCACCAAAGATCGTATTGTGGCGAACAGCCTGCTACATAATATATGGCCTCTTCTTTTTGAGGATTACAATCTCAACCCTTCCGTCCTTTATCCCATCCTGACATTGCCTTAGCACCCTTTCACTTCTTTGCCGAGCGGCTATGTCTTCGTCTTCCTCTACACTTAGGCTGCGCTAGATGAAGCCGACGCACTTCATACCACAATGGCACCTTCATGGTCCGCTGCTCGTTTCTAACTTTCTCCTTTCCACCCTTGGTGTGGGAAAGCCGAAAGAGACGGCGGAAAGCCGCGCGAGAGCTCCATCAGTAGTTTCATCCTCTTGGATGATGGATATACCGAACTCTCAGCTTACAAACGACGAAGAGCATCTCCCCTCACGCACATTTCGTTAAACCTGATCTCTGATTCGAAAAATCTGCACCGTCCATGACGCGTCCAATCCGCAAAACTGTCTTCTACCCACGAGAGCCCCTAGTTGGAGCGGCTTTTGACGATAAAAGTCCAGGCACACAGAGATTAATCTATTCAATTTGGATTTTTGGACGGTGTTCCTTGTTGGAAACAATGGATCCTATTCCATCACGTCGATTCTCGTTTCTTGTGCGAACACGGATGAAGGCTACAGACCTACGTAGCGGGAGATAATGTCACGATTCCCCATTCACACACGTCTTTTCCTAGAAGGTTGTTGTTTTCCCAGCATAGCGTGAAAATTCATCATCATTCTACTTTCCAAGCAAGTCCATCCATGTACCAAGAAACAATCATTGATATGTCGCCAAAGCTTTCGTTGATCCCGGTCAATCCCCTTTGAAAGCTTCTACCCGGCGGCGGCGACAGTGGTGGTGCCTATCCGTTCGGTCTCAATCCATGTGGAAAGGATCGTCCGAGTCATTCATGCGTGCTCTTCCCAGAACCTTGCTCGCCTCCCTCGCCTCCCTCGCCTCCTCGTCCTCCCCTACCTTCATTCCCATATTGTTTACAAAATATCACGACAGGTCACAGCCTTGTGCCCACTCCAAAGGGCCTTGGTTGTGTTGCCTCTTGTCCTCCTGTCTCCACTGCTCCCATTCCTTGCGGTCTCACTCTCATTCGCAAGGTCTTCTGTTTGCATGGTGGATGTATAGGGTTAAGCATGGCCGTTCTCGCCATTCTGCTGTACGTCCACGGTTCCGTTGACTACCTTCCTCCCCAGCAACTCTCTCCGCCTTTTGACTGCGTCCGCAAGCGACTCCAGCACGACCTCGGTGTCTTCCCACCCTATGCATGCGTCGGTGATGGAGACGCCGTATTTCAGCCCCGACTTGCCTTCCGGGGGCACCTTTTGGTTGCCTAGGCAAAGAAGAATGAAAGTCAGCCCAGGTATAAACCTTCACGGTGAAGGGTGAAGACAGTCGCGCAGCGGGAAGAGAAAGTAACCCCCTCTTGTAAGTATTCGTCGGGGGCAGACAGGAACCGGTGCTCACCTTCATTGATATGGCTCTCAATCATGACCCCCATAATTCCCTCCTCTCCTGAGGCAATCTGGTCTGCCAGGACCTTTGCAACTTTGGGCTGGTTCTTGTGCTGCTTCTCACTGTTCCCATGACTGCAATCCACCATGACTCGTTCCCTCAAGCCCTTTTTCCGTAACATCTCTTTCGCTTTCTTTATTGACTCGGCGTCGTAGTTCGTTCCTGTAGTGCCGCCCCGCAGAATGACAAAGCAATCTTCGTTGCCCACCGTGCCGACAATCGCCACAACACCAGGTTTGGTCACGGAGAGGAAGTGATGAGGATGTTTCACCGCGCCGATCGCATCGATCGCCACACCGAGCGTGCCGTCCGTGCCGTTCTTGAAGCCCACGGGGAAACTCAGACCAGACGCAAGTTCTCTATGCAACTGACTCTCCGTCGTCCTGGCGCCCACAGCTCCGATAGAGAGTAGATCGGCCAGGAACTGGGGAGATATAGTATCCAGCATCTCACTCGCAATCGGCATCCCTTTCGACGTCAAGTCCACAAACAACTGCCTTGACAATCTCAATCCTTTATTTATCAGGAAACTGCCGTCAATCTCGGGATCGTTAATCAATCCCTTCCACCCCACCGTCGTCCGCGGTTTCTCCAAGTAGGACCTCATCACAACAACTAGTTCGTCTTTGTATTTCTCCTTCATCTTGAGTAGGCGATCGCAATATTCGAGCGCGGAGACCGGGTCATGGATGCTACAAGGGCCGATTATCACAAGGAGACGACGCAGGGGATCCATGTCTTGGACGATGGATTCGCAGTCGGCACGACCTTGAAGGACCGTGGATTTGCTGGAAGGGGTCTGGGGAATCTCATGCTGAAGGAGGTCCGGAGGTGTGAGGGGGTTGTAGCCTCTAACTGTATTGCCTCACAGCCGTGGGTCAGTCAAACTTGAGTTCCTCATCATGTCAAGGATTTGGTGACTAAAAAGTGTAGGCAAGAGTGAAAATGAAGGGAGCATCGATGGATACTCACTTCGCCAATCCTCGGAAGACTCCTTGTTCCCGACGTTTGGGTTGGTGATATAGTAGGACTTAAGAAGCGATCAGACGAGTCAGTCCCCTTTGCGCGAAGCCTCCGCGTATCGATGCTCTGGGGAAGGCAAGGAACTTACAGGCATGGTCTGGAAGCGAGTGCAATAGATTCAGGAAGAGAGTTGTATACCGAGTAGAAAGAAGGAATACTTCTGACCGCAACTCAAGAGCTGGTCAAGAGAAGAGAGTTGTGCAACGAAAACAAGCAGACTGCAGAGGCGGTCTAAAGAAAAAGTCTCGTGGAGAGATCGAGGGGCGAGGACCTCCAAAAGGCCTCGAACTTTTTTCTGTGCCTTGCATGACGCAGGTCAAAGGCGCCGATTGGACGAATTAACTCCACGAGGCTGACACTCCCCTTCCCCTCCAGCCTTGCCAGTCACAATAATCATCTCCCGAGTATGAGGCCCTCGTGTCGTAATTTTCTGCTCATACAAAAGTCATTCGTGGGCAACCTTGCTTCATCTGCTTTGCGTGTCTGTTCGACACTTCTAACAATATAGTTATTTTGTTCGTCGTGCTCTAGGTTTCTCGTGTCATGCAATCTTGGGGTTCAATGTGTAGCCTTTTTTCGACGTCTTAAGATGATGCATCGCGTCGCATCTCTCATCTTTTTACCTCTATCTAGCCGACTGTGTCTCTTTGCCATTGGCATTCTCAATTAAACTCCATTTGTTTCCGGTTCCAAGGACGATGCATCGCGGAACAGATCAATCATGCATCCAGCCGACCATGCTTGAGTAGGTGACTGTAGTCCAAGAATCAGCATATCACTCTCGCCGTGTCCCCAGTAGGTGCTTAGCAGAACTTACCGAGTCCGCACAGAACGACCCGTTTTTGTTCGTTAACTCCGTCAACCCCTTCCAGGGACTATCCTTGATTGCTTGCTTGCATCCTTCGAGCCGTCTCGTGACCTGCTGGAAGGATTCCATTCTTCCTGCAGCGTCGGTCCGCCGCTTCAGGTCAAAATAGAGTAATGCGCGCAAGAAAAATCCCGTTGGCCATAGCCATTCGGGACCCTGATGATAATTTCTCCCCTTGGACGTGGCAAAATCAGTCGAGTCTTCCGTGTTGTTGTAGTACGGCCGGTAGTTCAAGTCGGATGGATCCAGTGTTGCCATTCCGGTGGGTCCACGAAGCACATCATCCGCCACTTTCAACGCGTGAAGGGCTCTTTCCGGGGTAAAGAGATCCGGAGCGACTACCATCGCAACCGGGAAGTTCGGTCGTAGTTGATAGTCCTCGTATTCTTTGCCAGACTTATAGAGATCTTTGTAGATTCCCCTCCGATTGATAATCTTGGGATCCACATCGTCGTCAATGTCGTCCTTGGGATCCACTGGAATCCAATAGCATTTTTCGAAATTGGCTTTGATCCGGTCAGCCCACTCCGTGAATGGGATTATCTCGCCCGAATCGGTTTCAACACCGGACCATCGATAGTTCCCTGCTTTGTGGAGCTGGGCAACCCATCGCAGTGCGCTATAAACGAGCCCTGTGATTTCAACAGCTGCTCCGTCTCGAGGTGTACCAGGGACCCCTTTACTGCCAGCTCGTTCACTTTCACCCATTTTGTCCATCCATGTTCCGCAGTTCCACTGGCTGCCTCCGAAAATGATGCCCGTTTTCCAGTCGACATGGACGTCGATCTGGAATCCTTCCGGTCTCATTTGCATGTCCAATTGGGGACCAGCATTGTGCTCTCGGAAAGACAAGCCGGACGCATGCCGTTGCAGGATCTCTTGAATAATCTCTTGAACAGTAGATACTTTCGAATATGCTCGCGGATCGTCCCAAGGGAACCATGTGTCATCGTACGGCAGGAATCGACGAGGAACCTTTTCCTGTAAAATGGACAGCCCGTCAGGCACAATCTTGGTATAGTCTTGAATGTTTTGCAAAAAGAACCACGGCGAGTCTCGAGAGTTGTACCTCGGGGCGGCACCGCTGCTCAAGAGGTTGGGTATCATGCCATGTTTCAAAACACTTCCAAATGCCTTGATATGCTCCTTGGCTTCTGCAAATCGACCGGTACACAGAAATAGGCCACGCAGAGAGATGAAAACGTCTCGACCCCAACATCTAGCCCACGACACTGAAAAGTGAGGCAACCCAGCAGCGAGTGATGGCACACTCTTGTCTGGCC